CTTGCCGCCTGCAGATGGCTGTAATTGGTCATCCATATTCAGCAAACGAGATCAACAATGCAGTTAAGGAGACAAATTCCCTGACTTTTTGACAAATTACTTGACTTTTTGACAATTTTCAACAAATTCCCTGACTTTTTCCAAACACTAATGAAAATCCCTGACTTTTCCTGATTTTCCCTGACTTTCCAGGTGCGTAGGAACCCTGAATATACTATAATAATAATATATTTTTTCCCTTCTTTTCGGTTATCCAATTTTTTCAGTTATCTGACCAACCTGAGTCCCCAATTGAGTCGGATAATCGATGCTCTACTATATTATCTTTTAGTCTAGGAAACAAGACTAATATCGGTTCAAATGTTGCTAACTCTCATTATGTCAAGAAAAGAAAACATAATAAAAGCCATTGAGATTTAATGGGGTAAAAATTAAAATAAATTTTCAGAGAAACAAGTTAATTGGTCAGAATTAGAATTTCTGTCTCCAAAACTTTCGACGAATTTCGATGTTTCCCGACTCGAGGTGCACAGCTTTTATGAAGTTAAATTTAAAAATCAGAGATGTATAAAATTTATTATGTTTTTCATTTCAATAAAATGAATATTGTATCAGACACAGTAATTGCTTAAGAATCTACTTGCGCTATGCTCTCCAGTAGAATTAATTTCTCAGCTGGTGTGAGAGTCGCTCTATGGCGGGAAGAAGTTATCTATTTGGTTAATAGGTACTTCTCCCGTTTTCAAGCATTTTTGTAACTTCTACTGTTCTGTCAAAAAATCTTATTAATAATTACATTTTTTAATTTTATATCNCTTCAAAAATCTGGACAAAATGAAATGTAGGAAGACAGAGGAAAAAAGAAGCAAAAGTTTTAAAGTTCTAATTATTTAAAATAAAAGTGTAAACATTCCTTGAGTTTGCGATTATTTTGTATAAAATCTCATAATTGATTATTATTAATAAAATACACATATTAAAATACATACCTTGTTGATTATTATCCATCTTAATATTTGATAAAAACATTCGAAACAAGTCCAAAAACGACACTGACGTTATGCTTCCAACCAGATATAAAACTGATGCTTTTCTTTTGGTTAACAAAACCGTGGCGTGTATTTAAAAAATTATTGATAGCAATTGACTGGCTGGAATGTTGTTTCTTAAGTCATAAACATGTAAGAGCCATTCTCAGTTATGCATTTTTTTGACTTTTGTCCTCCTAGTTCTTTACTATGATGACCCACTGTGCACAGTTTTGAAATAGAATTACTAGTTTAATTATACTTTGTTCGATTTTTTAATTTTATATGGGAATTAATTGTTGGGTTTTTGACTTATTTGTTAAGTGGTGGTGAAAATTTTAATTTCCACCGTTTACCAGTTTTAGTCTGTAAAATATTTGACTGGTACTTTTGTTTGATAGATATCAACGAAGAGGGCCCAAGGCTGGTGTCAGAGTAAGAACAACATACCATATTTTGAGACCAGCGCAAAAGAAGCCATCAACGTGGAACGGGCGTTTCAGACGGTGGCCAAGAATGCTCTGGCCCAGGAGACAGAAGTGGAACTCTACAATGACTTTCCCGACCAGATCAAGCTGTCCGACGAACGCAAATCCAAAGCCGAAGGTTGCGCGTGTTAGTTGGTCCCACTGTGGGAGAAACCGAGGCACCACTTCGGTTTTAAAACTGTCGGGGCCATCAAATGTTCTGCCAGGAAAGATGATCTGCCGTTTCGAAATTTTAGAGTTTAGTTGTAAATACCGCCGACGAGCCCGTTGCCCTGGGATCGGGACCGGAGTTTGTACTAAAGATTATGATTAAAGTCCAACTTTGTAAGTGTGGTTTGTTCGTTCTCCGTAATTTCCTCCGCCAGATCCAGGTCAATTTCCACGGTGGGCTCGTGCACATTTTCACCTGCCCGCTGTACTTGGAATTTCAGAAGCGGACTTGTGTATTTGTCTATCAACAAAGAATCATGTATTTAAAATGTAAATAAAAATACGAGTAAGGTTTATTTCTTTCGTGTCATCGGCCACCTTGGAATGTCTGGTGCCGAGCATTCTCTTTAATTTTTTTATCTGTCATCGGTAGTCTGTCCAAAAATGACTGGTTTTTGGATGGAAAAGAAGACTGTTTGCCATTGTGCCCAGTGATCTTATTATCAACCATCTTCTGAGGTGCTTATTTTTACGGATGTTCCTTGTCTTAACCAAGTGAGCCCACCGGTGGCCAAGTTGTCTTCGTACCCTAAACATTGGGAGTTCGGTCGTGGGTTTGCACCTCGCTCGGATGGGCAGTCTGGCCATGTGGAGTTTTCTGGGTTTTTTCCATGTCTGTAATGCCTAAATAGAGGCCAGTTTTCCTTAAAAGACCTCCCGGAAGGCATCCCCCTAGGCAGATCTGTCCAAGTGTTGCGATGCCAAAACTTAACCAATTAGTTCGTGTGGTTGTCCTCTAATATAATTTATGTCAGAACTCTGCGCAATGGTTTCATGGATCTTGGAATCATATTTTCTGAGTTACTGACTGTTAAGAATAAAAGAGCCAGGATATTTTTAATTCCATAAGCCACCCTCTGGGTTGGGTGGACAACTTCAGAATTTCGAATGGAACTGCCCCAATTTTTTTTTATTCAGAAAATCTTTTTCAAAGTGATGCTATTGGAGAAGTACCACTGTTCTCTGCTACGACACACGTGCTTCAGTCTCACCAAATTTAGTCCTAGGTGATAAAGCAAGATCTGTTGTGATGTTTCGAATCTTTGAATAAGATAAAGGGGGCATTACGAACGACTATAAAAGTTGGCTTCCGGAAACTACGTATCGTCACCCAAGAGGATCAATTAGTTCGAAAGCAACCATGTGCTGAGTCTACGAGCCTTTGGGAAATTTGCAGTACTAAATAACGTTGCGATGACTCAACCAAAGAAAAGACACAATTACTTAACAAGATGTCTGTACAATTTATTTTCTATAAGAAAAAAAAGTTTTACTTGACGTTTTATTATAATTTCGAAATGGATAATTTGATAAAACGAAAATGACCGTCAAATAAAACCAGCCCGTCTGCATTCTAAGAATTTAAATTATCACAGCACAATATTTGTAAATATATACAAAAATAAATTTTTCAACTAGCAACGGATGATTGTTGAGCAAAAAAACTAATTCACTTTTTTAAGGCCATCTTCGTTTCTCTATAAAAATCTGGGGCGAAACTGTCGGAGCAGAGCCGAAGAACTGTTGCGCCTGTGGATGGTCAGCTGCGGGAATGCGTTCTCCACTTCCGGTGGCACTCCTGTAGTAAAATTCCAAATGTTAATTAAATAATTAATGTGGCGTTAATATTTACGTTTAAAGACAAAAATGCCACCCAGTGTTTGGCCAGGAAGCAAGAGTGCCCTAGAACTGGGTGTTACGTTAGTTACGGTCTTTTTTTTTAATGTGTAATTATATACTTTGGCATTGGTACAGAACTGCCAAGATTCTCAGAAAAATTGGTGCAATAAGAATATTTCTGGCGGTTTTATTTTTTCGGTATTAACCGATAAATTAATTGACTTAAGTCACAATTATTTCCATGTACAGTACAATGTTATTATGTTGCCCATTAATTACAATCTACTCGTTTAAAAATGAAAAATTCCTTTCAAAAATTGGCAGACAGCACTGAAAATTCGTCGGCCAGACACGGTAATTGACTGTGAACGAGTTAAATACCCGTCAATTTAGTCGTTATTAAAACTACAAGTTCTTTTTTCTAAATGAAATTACATTCACAAAAGTTTACATTTATCAATTTTTAAGTGGCATAATTGCAAATTACTTACTGAATCTTAAGCGTGAAATTTCGCCGGGTTCTTCCCAGAACGGACCCGGTCCCGGTAATGGTATGGGCTGAACCGGATACGGTATTAATTCTGGCGTGACATAGCGCTGCATCTGTTTCCTTATGGCTTTTTTATTTTCGAATTCTTCTTTGTATTTCTGAAAAAGTGACCAAATCAATTGTCATAACATACTGGTTGCAAAACTTAAGCAACAATTGTTTTTCTTGCCGTAACTTCGCAAGAAATTGCCCGGGAGACGCAAAATTCAGAATACAGAAAGAGTATTTTGTACTTAAAGGACAAAGCATACTAGTGCAAAAAAATGTATAGAACACATACAGTATGGAATGAAAGCCTTCTGTTTATTGTAGTCTTGCACTGCATGCATTTTGCCTGGCCTCCCGTCACCCACCATGTTTTCTTCCTACATACGAATCGCCTTTCTACCGATGACAACGAGTCCTTTTCCACAATTTTATAGCAGTTTGCTTAACACACACATCGTTGCTTAAGTTTTGCATGCCAGTCTATATTATTTTTATAAAAATAATTACCTGCTTATAATTCTCCACGTCAGACAGATTAACTACAAAGAAATAAAGTTAACAGTATATATTTATTAAGAAATGAATATGTGGATTTATTTTGGAAATAAAAATAATTACCAAAAGGAAAATCTTGCCGTAAAAGACTTTTCCAAAAATTCGGAAGATCTGCCAGCTCGTTTAATTCCACATTTACGGAGGACATTTTTAACAGAGACGGCGCATCCAGGAACGACATGATATGTAACTGTCGATGCAAATTTATACAACTCAATTCAATCGGTAGTTTCAATTCAGAAACTACCGATTCAAACGATAAACACAAACCAATTTTGGAAAACGAGGTTTTAACTAAACCGTAGCTTAGACCGGAGGCGCGGAACCTTTTTTATTCACAAGACCAAATCCCATTTTGGAGAGATCTCGTAACGCACGTCTACAAAATGGGATTTGCCTCGTTCCGTTGCATAAGAGTATACATTTGGCACATATGCATAAAAGCATACCCACATATTTAGAAAAATGCCTCGGTGGTGGGCCGGCCGGACACGCAACGGATGGAATAAAGGCCCCCTCGGTACCCGCAGGAGAAGAAGTTTAAAAAAATGTATCATTGCTAGAAACAATTCTAAATTTAAAAGCAACAATGTTATTTTATTTGAAATTCTTACTTTAATGTCCGTCGGTAAAGAAGAGAATCCCCAAATTGGTCTAATCTTAGATACTGAAAAACAAATTGAAATGAATAAAAATGATTAAGTAAACCGATGGAAATTATTTAAAAATTGAATAAAAAGCATTAATTTAATAAATAAATAGATTTGATTTGTTTATATAAAAGTCAAGAACAAAGCAATTATTTTACTCTTTTCTTAAAATTGTTTAAAACAATGAAAAGAAACATTCCGGTGGCATTTTTAAAATCAGTAAAAACAAACAAAAAAAATATTTGCATAAATAATTTTGCAAAGAGAATCATTTAGAAGCTTCCTGATACAATTATAATTTCCTGTCAAAGTAATAAAATATCTTGTGGTAAATTTAAAGGTACACATAGAAGCAAGCCTGAATTATTATAATGATCAAATAATGCCAGATTAACTTGGCTAATTTCATAGATACCAAGTAATTTGGAATAAAGACAGGCAGTTAAACTGCCTTCTTATATTATATTAAATTTAATAATAGTCTTAATTTATAAAATTAAATTAAACAATTTAGACTATTCCAGAAGAAAACTCAATGAAATTAATTAGATAAATTCTAATCCAATTTCAAATGATAAGACCTGATTAATTCGTGGTATTTTTGTCTAGATTTTTCTTTTAATATGATTTTTACCATTATATATGAAGATTCTATCATAGTACATTTAAATTTTAGTTTTGTACTTTTGACATTATCATTAACTTAAACTAACAAAGAACTTTTGTTTTTCTCCTGTCATATTTTGATTCAAATTATAAATACAGTAGAGCATCGATTAACCGTCACATCGGTTAACTGACCATTCTAGTTGGCAAATTTCAAATGTCCGCTAGTGATGTGGCATTATAATATTTGGCTAGGTCTTGGCTACTTTATTATTATTTTTGTTAAATTTTTGCGTGTTTTAGCTAGCAACATCACTCAACCATGAAAGGGAGGCCAGTATTTAAACGAGGCTTAATTTTCTAATTATGAGTGGTTGTTTTGTGAGCAATAAAATAATTTAAAAATAATTTTTAATGATACAATAGCAACGTTTATTATTTAAAAAAAAAATTGTTAGGCTAAACATCAATGAAAATTCAATGCGAAGTTGGTTAATAGTGATATATTAATAAGCTAATTACATGGGATATACTAATATACAGGGTTCCTACTCAAATTTTTGTTTTGAATTCCCTGACTTTCCCTGACCAACTTTGTCCAAATTCCCTGACCCTCACATTTTTTAGTGTGGAATATGGACATAATAAAACAGCATTTACTGTTAACATTGAGTACATTTAGCCCTCTAAGTTGATATGCTTCAAAGACTGCCACATTAAAAAAATACAGTACATACATCCTGTAGAAAAATGTTTGATAGAATCCACAACTTCAATGTAATGAAAAAATAAGCAATTTATAAACAAAACACAAGCTTTTTAATTTATCATCATTTATCATTATTATTTGTATGTANTTCCATTGTCTCGCCTTTCTGTGAAATCTGACACCGATGAGTCATTGTGTTTACAGCTGGATGACCTGGAGAACAGCTGGTGTTGGGATTTCCCGGGACATTCTCATAGAAGTCTCGGGAGGAGAAGGGTTTAAAGTAGAGTGAATACTAGCTGGCTGTATATTTTTAAATATTTTTCAAAAATTACGTTTTTTTATTGCGATTTCCGACCCCCCGACTTAATTAAACGTATATATAATAAAATATATTAATTTAAAAAAATTAAAAAACTATTGGAGGTCGTTTTTGACATCAGAAACTAGCTTTAAATAACTTTATCGAAGTAAAATCCGTGCACTACTACTTTAGAACGATGAATGAAATTTGATAAAAAAAACTCCCATTAAAAAACAATTAAGCGTTAATCGTGCGTCATTAAAGGTATATTAAAATCGCGATAAAATATTTTCGCGCGGGAAAAAATTTTTGAAAAAATTTGGAGACTTAAAAAACATCCAAAAATCCAAAAAAAAAACAAAAATTTTTTCGGAGGGCCCAAATGCCCGAGTTTTATGTAACGCTATGGAACTTGCCCGAGTTATCTCGGGTTTTAAAGATTGCAGCATTACTTCTTGCCGCCTGCAGATGGCTGTAATTGGTCATCCATATTCAGCAAACGAGATCAACAATGCAGTTAAGGAGACAAATTCCCTGACTTTTTGACAAATTACTTGACTTTTTGACAATTTTCAACAAATTCCCTGACTTTTTCCAAACACTAATGAAAATCCCTGACTTTTCCTGATTTTCCCTGACTTTCCAGGTGCGTAGGAACCCTGAATATACTATAATAATAATATATTTTTTCCCTTCTTTTCGGTTATCCAATTTTTTCAGTTATCTGACCAACCTGAGTCCCCAATTGAGTCGGATAATCGATGCTCTACTATATTATCTTTTAGTCTAGGAAACAAGACTAATATCGGTTCAAATGTTGCTAACTCTCATTATGTCAAGAAAAGAAAACATAATAAAAGCCATTGAGATTTAATGGGGTAAAAATTAAAATAAATTTTCAGAGAAACAAGTTAATTGGTCAGAATTAGAATTTCTGTCTCCAAAACTTTCGACGAATTTCGATGTTTCCCGACTCGAGGTGCACAGCTTTTATGAAGTTAAATTTAAAAATCAGAGATGTATAAAATTTATTATGTTTTTCATTTCAATAAAATGAATATTGTATCAGACACAGTAATTGCTTAAGAATCTACTTGCGCTATGCTCTCCAGTAGAATTAATTTCTCAGCTGGTGTGAGAGTCGCTCTATGGCGGGAAGAAGTTATCTATTTGGTTAATAGGTACTTCTCCCGTTTTCAAGCATTTTTGTAACTTCTACTGTTCTGTCAAAAAATCTTATTAATAATTACATTTTTTAATTTTATATCATGTATAAAAAAGAAAAAGTATATTTGGTTTATAAAAAAAATTAATATGATGATGATTTTAAATTACAGATGAGGATGTAGATAAATCGAAAATATAACTATTTTTGATTTAATTTATCCAGATTTTAAATAGAAATCTTTTTAAAATTGTTGAAACTAATAAACTAATATCTCAAATTTATAGTAGAGATAACAGAGATTTATCACACTGCTATGGCAACATAAAAATGACACTTCTATCACTAGAATGCAATCTTCTGTCATTTTAATGTTATCAGTAGTATTGTGATAAGTCTCTGTTATGTCTACTATAATATTAGAGATAATAGTTTCAATGATTTTCAAGACAAGAAGCTCTTTTATAATGTTAAAAACTGTTATATTGCTACATATTGTGAATGAAAGTTTTGTACTTAATGTTCTTGTATAATATATCTGTTTAATAAATAGGTAATGATAAAATAAGTAAATAAATTTGCATTTTACTGTTTTGTTTTATTATGTATGTATGTATGACAATATAATTAGGAAAACCATAGCTTATCCTCTGATACATTTAAATAGCCATAGAAATTTACCTCAGATAAAGACAAACTATTTTTAAAATAATTTATTAACTTTAACACTAAATAAAGTGTGCTATACAATTTTACTTGATTTAGTATAGTGAGATATAATATTTGGGAAGAAATAGTTTTGTATTTTTGGCAAGAGAAACTACATTTCTTATGACACTCACATTGGCTCTATATAGTTTGGTAATTTATATAATATTCTGCACTATCAAAAGTAAAATATGAATGAAGATTTATTGATGGCTTACTACACTTGTCCTTTATTTATATAGATTTAAAATAACACTAACGTATCTTTCTTTTAGCCTCCATGTCATCACTAATCACTATCACTGTCCATACCTAATAATACTGTCTGAACTCTTGCCATCCTAGATTTACCTATTTTATGTGTCAACCTCTAACTTATCATCCTCTAATCATCTCCAAGTTATGTCTGTAAATATGTTGAATATGTTGTTTAAATAGTTGGAATTTGTTAAAGGAAAAAGAGGAGTCTATATTAGAAATCCTAGAATTAAATCTATTGACTTAATCTCCCTCTCTAAACTGTTCCTAACTTTTTTGGCTCAACTTTACTCTCTCTCTATTTCATTAATAAACACAATATAAATTGTGAATAACATATATCATAGCTCTTTTCTCATTGCAAACTACAATAATTTACCTAATATTAATAAATAAAAAAAGGATATGGACTTGAAATCAAGAAATGAAAATTAAGACAAATTTAATTATTTTGGCACGAGCAGGATAGAGATAAAAAAACTGGATATGAATTTCTCTGGATCATTCATTAATAGTAATAATTACTTCTGGTAAAGCTGCAAAACTTCTGCAGATATTAAAAACCCTCAAAACTTGTTACATTGACTCTACAGGCTGAATGTTTGCTTTATAATTTTTAAATTAGAAATTAAAATTCAATTCTGCTTTATTTATTTTTTGTTTCAGCAAATACTTTTTAAATTTGATATTAATTAATCTTTAAATTCTAACCACATTATTTAATTCAGTTTAGAATTATTGTCATTAACATTTTTAAAACACTGATTAATTGACCTCAGATTGAATTACTCTGACCTTTTGAATCAATTATTATACTATTAAGAATTACAGTTTTAAAACTTTTATACCATTTTATTCTGTTTACGGGTCAGTTTAACAATCTCTTGTAGTAGTGATTTAATGTTATTTAAATAACTAATTTAAAAATTAATTTATTAATTATATATCATCATTATCAAAAAATATTTTTATTTTGGACAGCTGTTGTTCATCTTGCTTACCATAAATTTTTTTAATAGATTAGTTATTTATAAATATGAATTTATAAAGGAAAAATAATTAATTTATAATAAATTATTTTAAAAATTTCAATTAAAAGTTGAAAGAGAAGAATAAAAAATAATATACTTTCTTGAGATTCTATCAATAATGGATAGCCAACTTCATTTTTAAAACAATATGAAAGTTCTGGTAAATTCTTATATTTTGGTGTTCCTAAAATTATAAAATAAATAATAAAATTACTTTTTAAATTAATTATTATTTTTTATATATTATGTAAGATTTTAAATATCTTAATATATATTGATGATGCATAAAAACTATTATGTAAAGAAAATAGATTTCATTTCTTAAAATTTATATAATCAAAATTATAATTTCTTAAATAATATTTTTGTTTTAAAAGAAAAACTTTTAAATTCTAAAGATGCATCATAAAAAAAACTTTGGTTTGCAAAATATATTATTATTGAAAACTGCAAAATTTGGCATTCATATGTAAATCAATGGCAGTCAATTAACATTTTAATGATGATGAGGATGAATATCACTATTGATGATTTAATAGTAATTCTGCAAATAGAGCACAGAAGCCAATGTCAATCAGACAGTGAAAAACCTGAAAACTGGGTGATTATTATTATTTATTATTTTGTATATACACTTTTTAAGAGTGTATGTCCTAAGGACAAATTATTTTCTAAGTTTATAGCATTACATTTGTGTTTAATGTATATTAAATATTCAATACTATTAACCTCTCAACGTACGAACTATTAAAAAGAATGGCTTCAAATGAAAAAATTGTTTATTATTATTTAAAAGAAAGCATCTATTTTATCTGGAAAAAAAGTTTCATTCGAATTTTTTCAATTTGTTAAAATTGGTTCCTAAATGGCATCTCCTCCTTTGGATAGCCAACTTTACAGGGGCCCCCTGCGATTCGGCTTCTCTGTACTATTATTAGTTTTGCCGAGAAGCTGCCATTCGTCGGTTAGCGATAAAATAATTAAAAAAGTTAATTTAACCACAAAATATATAATGAAGGTAATGTAAAAAATGAAATGAAGTTCGTAGCTATCTAAGCTTTGATTTGCTTTCTTGTATTTGTTTGAACCAATAAATGTTTTCTCACCATTCCAGGTCATAAATATTTCGGAAAAGTCAGTCCCTTACCATTGTAAAGTAATTAGCAGTAAGAAGAAAGATTATTGGCTGATAAAATCAATAGTAATCTTTTTAGAACTGTAATTGGTTTATTTCTGTATTTGTTGAGACATTATTTGACATAAAAAGCTTTACAATAAGCTCCCACAAAAAATCAAAATAATTTATAATACACCATTTTATAAAATAAATTTATAGAAAATTATAGTATAAATTTTCATTTATTTTATAATGTATTATTTAGAAACTTATTATTTTTTATGTAACACAATACTGGCAAAGAGACACTCGATACAAGCTTCAGTACAGATAAACATCTGGACGACCTTGAAAACAGCTGATTGTAAGCTTTCGCGGGTTGTTCCCAACAACAGCCTGAGGGGAAGTAGGTTTCCTACACACGTCTGAACTAGTTACTGCAAATACTCGATTGTATTACGTTATTTTCTGATAATTTTTTTTTATTTTCTTGTTATTACCTATATTATATGCTAATCTAAACCTCATTTACCTAACATTGTTTTTTTGTGTTTTACAGGAAAAACTCCCAAAAACTAATTAAAAAAACATTTAATACACCAAATTATGAATTAGATTTCTAAAAAATTTTAACATATAACTTAATTTCCTTTGCTGCGTATTATTTAAAAACGAATTGTCTTTTAAATAAAAAAATATCGCGACGGATCACGTGACACGCGCTGCTGTTCGGTGTAGTTAGCGTAATGTCCTTGAAAACAGCTGTTTATAGCCATTAGCGGGATATTCTCATACAAATCGCAGGGGAAGACCGGTTTGTAGACAGATGTGCATCAGTTACCGTAAACACTCAAATACATGACGAATTTTTCCATTCGATATACTATCTCTATACATAGGGACCAAAGAAATGGTCAAAAAATAAACTTCTATTACGTGTAAAATTACGAAACTTGCTGAGATCATCAACAACATCCAATAAAATGTAAATTAACTTTATTTGAATTATTTCGACCAACGAGGAGTTACGTACGATTATTTAAATTTGCCCGAGTTATCTCGGGACCGGGCAACTCCTCGTGAAAACGTTTCCCGAGTATACTCGGGACTGGGCGTTAAGGGGTAAAATCTTTATACACTGAAATTTATATTTTAAAATTTTGTAATCTAATTTATTCAATTGCAAGTGCTATTTACTTTGTCATATACTAATGTATAAATGAAATTACATAAATGTATGCTTCTTTATGTCAAAATGAATCACCTCAAGAACTTTTATCATATATATTTTGATTTATAAAGACTGAAGAAATTGTAGCTATTCAGATTATAAATGTAAGAGAAATTTATTTTCGTAACTTACTAGAATCTGGCGTAAGAATAATATAATCTTCTAACTGAATATGCATATTATATTGCCCATTACTTGTGTTACATTCTTGATTGACACTGCCTGTAAATTAAATAAAAATAATTAAACTTATTAACCGGACAAAAATATAAAATATAAAATGTTAAATATTTACAACAAATTTTGAATATTTAATAATAAGAAAATGTATCAAATTTATAAGATAAACTAAACTATAATTAGAAAATATAAAAAGTATATTTTTCATAAGAAAAGAACTAAAGAAAGAAATTCAAATATGAATTTATCTATTAAAATGTTTTTACTGAGTTCTATTAATAAATGTTAGTCTTTTATAAATACATTACATTATTCAATACATTGAATTAATAACCTTAAAATTTGTTATATAAAAATATTGTTATAAATCCAGGCATACTGTTAGAAATGGTTCTTTAAGATAGTTCCTAACAGAAATAAAATAACTTGTATGTACAACTTTATTCAATATTAGGAAAGATTATCATGTTTCGTATATCTATAACTAGATATTACAGTTATTATTAATTTATAAATGTACTGTACATGTATACATTAATGTACTGTACTATATATGTTGCAATCAATTTGATATGAATATTAGCAGAAATACAGTTACTTATCATTACTAACTTTAATGAATTATAAATATTTTGTGAATGCCAAGGTTTTAATTTCTAAACTTATGAATAGGCTTTTAAATTTAGATAATTTTGACTTACAAACATTTGACTTTGAAATTCTGAGATTTAAACAATTTGATTTATGAACATCAGCAATAATGACTGTGATAGTGAATATATTCAATCAATTTTTGTGATTTTCAACCATATGGCTGAAGGTACACATCCAGATGTTATTAAGTGTAGTTCTCTAATTTCAAAAGTAGCTTTAAAAATCTAATTATCAAGGGTTTAAAGTGAAATATCAGTGCTGGTATTAATAGTGATAATAATAATATATCTGGCTTTAGTTTAGAAACTAAGCTAGACATTATAAAAAGAAGAGAAAAGTGAGAAAGGGGTGGAAAAAGCTTGCCGTTATAACTTGAACTGATTAAAGTAACAATACAATTATAAAAGACAAATAAAGAATTGTGGTGGTTGCAAACAGCCTTCATAATTCATTCTTTGTTTTTTATAATTCTTTCTTTACAATTCTTCAATTACAATTTTTTCTTTATCTCATGTAGAAACAGCAGAGCCATCAAGAGCTTATATAGGGCCATGGGTAGGATGGGCCCTTTAGTTTTTTTTTTGAACAGATGAAATACTGTATGTAAAATGTTTCTTTATTAGTAAAAGGCACAAATAACAAATAACAAAAGACACTATGCGTTTAGCTGGCAGAATTTTCTTCTGCCGGCTAAACATGTGAAAAGGAGGAGAAGGTAAGAAATAGGATGAGGAGATAGAAAGAGAAAGAAAGGTTCCTTCTAAATGGCATATGTAAGGTTATTACTTTCTGTACATTTAATGTTGGCCTGCAGTTTTTAGGCTGTGAGGCCATGAATCTAAAAGAAAACTTCAGTTACAGCATACACCAATAAGTAGTGCAGCTACATACGAGCTAGACAGAGTAAAGATTAAGGCTTAAAACTAAAGTGAAGGCTTAAATATAATAAAAAAAATTAATACAGAACCTAAGCTAGCAATCCCTATAAGAAGCAGAATAACATAACTGAAACAACCAGGAGAAACAGCTAAAAAACTGATAACTTATATCTAACTTCACTACGTTAAAATTAACTTTTAGCTATTTTAAACTAACTTATTACTAAACAAGGATGATGACAAGGACAACTCAAACAGATAAGAGTATGCCAAGACAAAAGACCTATGAACAAGACACCAATTTTTTTTATGAGATGACAAAAGAGAACAAAATGAAACAATGGATAAAAAATTTTGTTGTAAATTCTAAAAATTAATAAAATAATTTCTAGATTAAAACCAAGTAAAACTACTCTCTCTTNACAAGACACCAATTTTTTTTATGAGATGACAAAAGAGAACAAAATGAAACAATGGATAAAAAATTTTGTTGTAAATTCTAAAAATTAATAAAATAATTTCTAGATTAAAACCAAGTAAAACTACTCTCTCTTATCCAACTTTGAGTGATTTATTTTAGCAGACAAACAAATAACGTAGAAATACTAAACTTTAACTTTAATTGCCAATAACTTCATGTTCATAAAATCCAAATGCATTTCACTTACAATAAAGCCTCATCAGTGCACATAATCTTTACAACAAAATTTTTTATGAATTTTTTACCAATCCCATTGTTTTAAATTTTGTGAAACAATGGAATTAAGACAAAACAGAACCCAAGTGACAATAAAGCTAAAGGATTACAAAAAGTATAACTGGGAATAAACTAAGCAAGAAAGAAAACCTTTATGTTTTGTGTGCCATGAGGGAGAGAAACTGCAAGAGCCTTGCTGAGGGATATGAATGAAAGTAAGTGATGGTACATTATACAGTACTTGTCTGAATGAATTGCTGTGGTGTGCATGGCAAATTGTATCCTTCCAAAATTGCTGCTCTACTTAAGCCATTCCTAATGTTAGTGTACTGTACCTATCACAGTAAAAAATTAAGTACAGTGGGTGATCGGTTAACGAACACTTTCGGGAAAGATTTTTATGATCAGACAACAAACACATGTTCGGTTAACTAACACTTTACTGAATAAACATAAAAAGAAGCGACAGAAAATAACGAAAACCGATTGATTTTCCCGTGTCTTCAGGTAACAATTCGAAACCTTTCAGAGCGAGGGAGATGTCAACATCGATGTCAACCCGATACCGATTGGATAGTATAATATTTCTCTGAATTTTGAAACTCTTCCTTGTAATTCCAGCTTTTTGTTTACCTTTCTGACAAATAATTTTTTATAGTATTTGCGAGACTGTCGGACATGCACTTGTTAAGTTTTGCATCGGGGTTTATTTACGAAAGGTGAAAGAAGTTTAACTGTCTCATCAGATATTCGTTAACGTTTTAATACCAAATTTCGAATTTCATCTGGGCCTTGCATTTAAGTAATTTTTTGTGGGCTAGTTGATTTCTGTTCTCTGAATTTTTGTGAGTGCTTTTCTGAACTTTTTATTTCAAACAGAAATTGATAATATTATGGAGCCTAAAAAGAAGAGTGTCAAGAACTGTGCTCACCATAGAAACCAAGCAAGAGATAGTAGCCAAACTAGAGTGGGCAGAAGATGTCTGATGTTGCTAGGCAGTATGGCTTGAACAGGTCTACAGTAGGCACAATCTTAGCTAAGAAAGATATAATGAAGAAGACTCAGAGCTAAAAGAGTAACAAAAATCACATTCTGAGAAACAAAGATGTTCCATCCATGAAAAATGGAGAGATTGCTTTTAATTTGGATAAAAGAAAGGGAAATGAAAAGAGTTGTAACTAGTATGACTATCATTCAAGAGAAAGCTAGAGAAATTTTTAAAGACTAAAGAAACAAACTCCACATTCGTCACACAAGGAGATAGAATTCAAAGCTATTACTGGATGGTTTTCAATGTTTAGACGGAGAACTGGCATTAAATATGTGGTTATTCACAATGAGTCTGCTAGTGCGGATAAAGAAGAAGCTGAGAAGTTCTATCTCAAATTTGAAGAATTCATTAAAAAAGAAGGATATTGTCCACAACAAATTTTCAATTGTGATGAAACTGGTTTATTTTGGAAGCGCATGCCGAGCCATACCTACATTACAAAAGAAGAGAAAAATATTCCTGGGCATAAACCCATGAAAGACAAATTGATGTTACTTTTGGGAACTAATGCTAGCGGTGATATGAAGCTTATCCTGCTTCTTGTCTATCACTATGAGAACCCTAGAGCATTCAAAAAAAATTCCATAATTACAGAAAACCTGCCAGTGATGTGGAGATCAAATGAAAGGGCATGGGTCATGCAGGCACTTTTCAAAGAATGGCTGTTTGAAGTTTGTGCTCCAAGCATCAAAGATTACCTTCAGACCGATGAATTGCCATTAAAAGCACTGTTGCTACTGGACAATGTACCAGGACACCCAAAAGACCTTGAAGATAATTTGCTAGAAGACTTTCCCTGGCTGACAGTTCAGTTTCTACCTCCAAATACCACTTCGTTGATTCAACCAATGGATCAAGAGGCTATTGCAGGTTTCAAGGAATTGTACATTTGAGCACTGTTTCTTCGGTGTTTTGAAGCATTCCAGTTCTCCTCAACGATGACATTAAAAACGTTTTGGAAAGAAAAAGTTGATATTCTTGAAGCTATATAGCTCATTCAAAAGGCATGGTCAGAAGTCACTCAACGACAATTGAATTCTGCTTGGCGAAAGCTGTGTCCCTCCTGCATTCAGGGAGAGAGAGATGATGTCCCTGAAATAATGGATGAAATTGTGACAACTGCTAGAGATCTGGAATTGGAAGTGAATAAAGATGATATTGAAGAGCTCATAATGGAACCTGAAACTGATCTGACGACAGAAGAACACCAACAAACTCAGCGAGATGTGTTTTCTTCTGAAAAAGAAGAAGATGAAAAAGGATCAATGTCAACATCTGCTATTAAAGAACTCTTGAAGAAGTGGGAGGATGTCAGAACAACAGTCTTAGAATGGCATCCAAACCAAGTTGAGGTTAATAGGCTTGGGAATCTCTATGATGACAATGCTATTAATTACTTCCGAAAAATCCCGAAAAAGAGAGAAAAGCAATCAATATTGGACAGATTCTTTAACCCCTACAAACGGAAAAAACATAACTAATAAAAATGCAAGACTGTGTATACATGTATTTTTATTATTACACATAAATAAACGTAGTAGAAAGAATATATTTTTTTATTTTTTGGAGTCTCCTTAACAAAAATTAATCAAATTCCCATAAAAACCTATGGTAAATCGATAATTGGTTAACGAACAAACTCTTGGAACAGATTAACCGATCACCCACTGTATATTGGTCTAAATTGTTATTGGTATTGTTGCAGTGGGGATGGTATATATTGTCTTCAAGGCATTGACAAATATGATGTATAAAAAAAAAACAACAAAAATTAAATCTATAAAGGTATGGTTTTTATCCGATTATGACAATGCGACACATGGGAGATCTGTTGAGGGTGAATGCCTCCCAGGAGGTCTTTTATGGGAAATTAGCTCCTATTTACATATTACTAAGATGAAGAAAATCTGGAAAACTATGGCCAGCTTGTTGGCAAAGTGTGAATCCATGACCAACTACCAGTGTTTGGTGGTTTCATCCACTCACCCACTGGTGGGCCCATAGGTCTTTAAAGCCTTTGACTTCAAGTATGAATATTGTGAATAAAATTATCATCATTATATTTGATACGAATAAATTTAATCTGAAAAAGAAAAAAATGTATAAAAACGGTATTATTTTACAATAACAGTGCTTAAGAATTTAACAATTAACTTTTTAAAACTCATTTTCATAACTGTTTTTAACTTTCTTCAATTGAATTCTTCATTCAAACCAATTTATATACGGAACATGTTTAGTGACATATACAAAATTATTAACATATAGTATGAATAGAAGGAAAGGATATCTGTGTAAATTATTTATTGAACTTTTGTTACATTTGTTCATTCCTAAGATTAAAAAACGTAATTTTATAATTCTTACCATATATTGCAAGAAACTTTGTTGTTACTTTTAAACATTTTAAATTGACAATAACATTAGGGCATAAGGAGTGTTCATAAGACATTTCATATAAATCCTTCTTTTGCCATCCATTAGGTCAAGAACTGTGCTCACCATAGAAACCAAGCAAAAGANTAAGACAGACCTCAGAAAAATACTTTATGAGGCATAAAGCTGTCTTTATCATGAAAATTAATTAACTAAGGATTTTTTTGCCCTGCCAGGGTGTGGCCGAGTTATCCGGAGTGCCGGGTTATCGAGAGCCAAGTTTTCGAGGTTCTACTGTATAATATATTGATATAGATAATGACAAGAAAGTTAAAAAAGTTAAGTTTACTATATCCAGTATTTTCATTTGCTACAAGTCACTATAGATCATAAATAATCACAGTTTATTTTAAAAATTGTTAAAAATCTAAATACAGGGTGTCTGAGTTAAGTGTTTCATAACTTCTAAGAGGGGTAGGGTGCATCCCAATGACTCAGGATCATATTGCACTGTAGGGTCGGAAATGCTAGATGGTAGATGGTGTTGCGCGAAAGTTCCAAGCATTCTTGCAGGGAATCGACATTTCGCACAAGGACACAGAGTTAGCCGATATGCATTTGGTGTACGGGCCTGAAGATTGTAGTAGGCTAGCCACACAGTGCTTGTACACAGAACGATATCTGATGAGGTGTATTCCCAGCCATAATTTCTTTGCAAGCCTGCACCAGAGGTTAGCTGTTTCTACGTACATCACTGCTTCAGGAAAGCATTTCTGACCCTGCATTGTTATATGATTCCGAGTCGTCGGGATGCACCCTACCTCTCTTAGAAGTTCTAAAACGTTTAACTAAGACACCCTGTATATATTTTTTTCATTTTACAAATAAAAAATAATATCTTTAAATAAATAGTAATTTGAATTTGAAACAACAAGTTCATAATAAATTCATGTAAAAAATTATATTAAAGTTAATATAGTATATTTCAACACGGTAATTAAATGAAAAGCTTACTTACAAGGAATTTCATATAAATTCTATAGTAAATAGATGTTCAAGATTTAAGTATTTCTCATAATGCATAGCAGTGTAATAATAAATACAACTAACTCACATAACTGCTGTCTAATCTTCACATGTTTTTGTTTGATCATTTGGTATATTATAAAATATTCTTATTACTACACAACTTTGGCAATTAAAATGCATACAGATTATTCTTGATTTTAAAAAATGTGTTTCTTAGATTTTTGTGTTGATCAAAAATTTGCATAGATACTTGTGTTTAATTTTAATAGAATAGATGCATAATGAATGTAATATAAAGAAAATATATATTTGTATACTTTACATTAATTTTTATATTTTATATAACAAATAAAATATACTTTGGTCTTGTATGCCAACTTCATTATAAAATGAAACAATAATAATAAAAAAATTAATATGCACACACAGTATATTGTATCAGCATAATGCAAATTATTATGAAAGTATATAAATAGAATTTTGAGAAATTAACCATGTAAAACACATAATGAGAAAAAATACAGGTACTGTACATTACTATTGTAATGCAAATGAATTATTTAGATCTACAGTGGTACCTCAGGATACGAAATTAATCCGTTCCGAAACTGAGATCTTATCATGAAAATGTCATAAGGTGAATCATTTTTCCCCATATGATTACATGAAAAACCAAATAATTCATTCCAACACGAAAAACACACTCAAATTAAAGCTAAGCAGTACATTAAAAAGAAAAATTACTATAGTAAGGAAAACACTGAAAAATGCATTTTGTAGTTGTAAATGTATAAATAACCATAATAGAATAATAATTGATTTAAAAAAATGTAGTTTTATTTGCACTTTACCTTTGAGGATAGACGACGGTGGAGGTGTAAATTGGTGGCAGAAGAGAGGGAGAAGGGAAATGATACTAAAACTTAACTTACATAACATAATGTAACAATAACTTAAAAATAACTTAGAAAAGATAAAAAAAATTAGTGTTGTTTTATATATATATTTTTAAATTTTTATTCACTGCTTTTTACTTTCTTTCCTTCACTTCCACCAGCACTTTCACTGGATAGAGGTCGCTTGGTAAAATATCTATCCAAAGAGGTTTGGCTTTGCCTACTTTTTAAAATGTTTCTAAAATGGCTTAGGCAAATGTCATTACTCTGAGTGGCAATATGGCCAGTGTGAACCTTTTTGGGATGTTTCTTTTCAATAAAATCAGTCACTTTCTGATAATATCTCGAGATTTCCTTTATCAAGCGAGATCCTTCCATGACGAAGCAAACACGGAGACTAAGACCAATGAACAGAAGTGAATAAAAAATGGTGCTGCGAACTAATGTAATGTTGTATGGTAAGTTTTTGTTCGTATCATGGAGCAAAAATATGTTCAAATTTCATATGCTGGGGTGTTCATATCCTGAGGTACAACTGTAGTTTGAATTAATCAAAATGATAAAAAATGTAGCCATTTATTAAATTTAAAATTTCATTTTCTTCATGAATAAGAATTAAATAAAACCAATTTTATCTAAAAAACAAATTATTATCAAATTATTAAACTTAATTTTTAGAAAAGAAGTTTATTGTATTTCTGCACAAATATGAGCAGGCTCTTATAGATGAGAAAAAATTGGCAGTATACCTACAGAATACCTAAAACACACTGTTTTTAAAAAAACTTTTATAATATTGGAAACATAGCATAGCATAATAGTACAGTGCTCTTGTAGGCCAAAACAAATTACACATATAAGAGCATACACTTACATGAAGGTATAATCTTATAAGCAAAGCAGGACCTATGTTTCATAAATGTGAAAACAGGCAGTTTTCACATATAAGAGCATGGTCTTATTTGTGCAGAAATATAGTATGTGTACAAAAATCTTTCACAAATTAATATATAAATTTAACTTATTTGGTAAAACCATCATCAAAATGTGTTATAATATAAATCAATTAATTTTTATTTAACTTAACCTTTCATAACTTTCACTTTAACATAACTTTTCAGACATGTCTTACAAAATTTATGAATTCTTTTACATTCAAAAATAAATAACTAACATAATATTCTGTTTAAATGTTGCATATGTTTGAATCTTAATAAATTAAACAACATATAAATAAAATATAACTTTTTTGATTCTCAAATTAATTTTAATTATTGGCATTTTATGAAATTAATATTCTTAAATTTTCAAATAAAAAAATGTCTATATTAGTAAGCATTTTGTTTGTCTAACTATAGTCTCATTTAAGAAATGTACTTTATTGGAGTTACAAATATTACACTTTCTAAAGCACTTTCAAACTGATAAACTTCAGTAAACATCGAGTGTTGTCAGCTGCACATATGTTTGCAACTGAGACATTTTTCAAAAATGACAAGTCTGTTGTTGTTCTGTTACAGTGACTATTTAGGTGATACTTCAATACTGAAAGACATGGGAGAGTACCTGATCATCACACCATCATGAACTGAGTGAAAAAGTTTCACACTATGGCTTCTGCATTAGACAAGAAACCAGAAGAGCATGTGAAATCTGTGTGAATACCAGAGAACATTGAGCAAATGAGGAATGGGTCACATTTCTTTATGTAGTGCTCAAGAAGTACTTTACAGCAAACACTCTGAAACATGTTTCTAAATGCAGTGCTGCAATGTAGCGAATCATTTCTAAACTTTTGTTGCAAGAGGTCACTGCAGCAAAGATAAAGCAGCTTTTATGTTTGCTACACTTGTAAAGCAAAACAGACGCTTGTGTATATAATATATTATTATACTGTAAAAATAAAAAAGTCAAAGTTGACTGTTGATAAAAATACAGTTTAACCCAATTATAAAGTCATTGGATGTAACATAATGTCAAATTTTTATCGGTCCCATGATTTTACTATACTAGATAACGTTAAAAAAAACCCACTTGTAATGACATAAAACCCTGTTTTAATGTCATATTTAAAGCACTCCCAGATTTACAAAATTAGATTATGAATTTTATTTAACAAAGAAAATACAGTAAATGTACTACAGTTCAGTTTGTAGGGTCAGAGTCCACTTCCTAGAATGACTGTGGGTGGTACTCTCACTATCTGACTTTGGTGGGTGAGGTTCGTCACATCTTTAAATGATGTGACAATCAGGTTAGTTTGCATAGTTACTCATTGTCATGGTGATATCGTGTAGTGACATGATTGGCCAATTTGAACTGGTAACAGATGCTGCCAAGGAAAGATCGTAGAAGACCACGATTGGCTAAATTTGAATTGGTGGTGCATGAGTCTCAAGGAAGAGACGATTGACATCATGCGATGTGGCAGACCTGGAATAGAGCTATGACTAGCATACTGCTGATTGGTCGACAGGTGGCTGTCAATGACTATATAAGGTTGGCGTGGGAGTGGGAAATTCGAGTTGGATCTGTCTCGTCAACGAGACAGATCCAACTCGATATATATAGTTCTAATTTGTTATATATAGTTCTAATTTGTTATTGGTGTACCAAACAGTTGTGAATTGTGAAGCTGTTATAAATTTTAACTTTACTCTTGTGTTGTACAGTAGTTTAGCATCAAATTAGGTGAAATGGCTAGCTTAAAAAGAAAAGCGTTAATGTTAGACTGCAAAGTAGAAATAATTAAAGCAGTTGAAAGTGGAAGAAAAAAGGCGGATGTATGCAGAGACTTTGGTTTAGCAAATTCTAGTGTGCACAATAATAAAAAACAGAGAGAAAATTTTGAAAAGTGTTCAAGATCATAAGAGACAAGTGAAAAAAATTAAGTTAAGTTATGTGGCAAAGCCAATATTGATGCCGCTCTAATTACGTGGTTTAACCAATGCAGAAGTTCCAATTTACCACTAAATGGACTGATACTAATGGAAAAAGCAGAAGAATTTAGATGACTACTAGCGATACTAACTTTAAATGTTCTAATGGATGGCTAGACCGTTTTAAACAAAGACATGGCATAAGTTTCAGAAAAGTGTGTGGAAAAGTAAAAAGTGTAAATTTATTGGATATTAAAAACTGGTTAAGAAATGTATGGCCTAAATTAAGGGGGAAATATGCAGATGAAGACATTTATGATGCAGATGAAATTGGGATATTTTACAAACTTTTACCAGATAAAACATTTAAATTCAAAAATGAAAAATGTGTTGGTGGAAAACTTGCGAAAGATAGGATAACAGCTTTTGTTTGCACTAATATGATTAGTACAGACAAAAGAAAACTTCTTGTAATAGGAAAATCAAAAAATCCAATATGTTTTAAAAACATAAAAACACTACCAGTAAATTACAAAGCCAACAAAAAGACATGGATGACATCTAAGATTTTTGAAAAAGAAATTCAAAAATGGGATAGAGAACTTATTGGTAAAGGAAAAAGTTTTATTCCTTGTCGATAATTGCCCAGCACATCCAATTTTAGAAAATTTAAAGAGCATTAAAGTTGTATTCCTTCCTCCAAATTGTACCATACTAGCATACTTCAGCCAATGGATCAAGGAATTATAAGAAGCCTTATATCTCATTTCAGAAAAATTCTTTTACAAAAAATTATTACTAATATTGAAGATAACAACAAAATGGCAATTTCTTTATTAGATGCAGTTGATTTTTTGGAAAAATCTTAGTGTAAGGTTAGTTTGCTAATAGTAGCAAACTGTTTTCGCCATGCAAAACTATGTAATAGTAAAACAGCTATTACATTTATGAATGATGACAATAATGAGGACAACAACATTCCTCTACCAGAATTAATTAAAACACTTCAACGTTCAGAAAATGGTGAATTTTTGTCATCTGCTGCTACTGAATATGAGTGTAGATCAGGGGTGTCCAACCCATAGTCCGCAGGCCACATGCGGCTCAAGGCGAGTTCCAATGCAGCCCAATAAACATGTAAACAAAACCGACAAATGTTTTAATTTTTTTATTATTTATTTATTTCAACAGCATAAACTCAAAAAAGAAGTTTCACAAAACCATAAACCTTTATTCATATTTTATATTTGATTGAAAAGGAAATATTTTCAAATACTTGGAGATGTGTGAATGAGGAAAGATTACTAAATAAAGCTGGAGTTGTGACTCAAAGGATTATAGACCCAAATTTGGGGAAAGGAGAGAAAAGACAAAAGATAAAAAGCAGTGAGAAAGGTTAAATAGATCTTCTGTTATGCAAATATTGACCCTTAATTTTCCAACCTTTCTCACTTCTTTATCTTTTGTCCTTTCCCTGCATTTGGGTCTATAATCCTTTGAGTCACAACTCCAGCTTTATTTAGTATTCCTTCCAGCATTGCAAGATTTGGCTACATTGCGCCAAATGTGGCTACATTTTTTAGTTTGACATAAAAATATCATTTGGTGCTTAGGCTACTTTTTTGGCTACATATTATTTATAAATATATTAGTTGAATAAAAATGCACTTTAAAATGGTGCTTTGTCGCTTTTAATTAATTACAGACCCAAATAAAACAAATACTTGTGTTTTTCATATAAATTTTCGTTTTGTCTCTTAAATTCATTTATTACCTTGTTTATCTATCTATTTTTAAGTAAAAATTGAAAGTGTCTGTTCTATTTTTAAGTAAAAATTGAAAGTGTCTGTAGAAATAATTTTTTAAAATATCCTTTTTCGTGATAAAGTTTTAATACTTATAAGTATAGTCTAGACATGTTAATCCTTAAATATACTTGTATATTGGGCCACAATTATATATTATATATACTTATGGCCCAAAACTCCTTGACTTATTCCAATGCGGCCCAGAGAAACAAAAAGATTGGACAAAAAAATGTGGATAATGATGATGAAGATGAAACATCAGACAGAGAAAATGCAGTGCTGTCAGCCAGAGAAGCGCATAATGAAATAAGATTATTGAAAATGTTTTACTGGTCTTGGAAAACTTCATCGGAAATAATGAACAAAGTCTATGATTTAGAAAATGACACTGATAAACAGTTTTTAAGGGAAAAACACCTACAATCTAAAATAACTGACTTTTTTTTAAGTGAATATTGTTGTTGTGTCTTTTTAATTGGCATAAATTAATTTAACATTTTGTTGTCTTTTGATTCAATATTATTCTCAAAATCAGAAGTGCTGCCATTATTATAACTTGAGACAAATAAAAATTTCTTATGAAAGGTCATTTTTGAAATTTTTAATTACATTGTTGTAAACTTAGACATAATAATGTGAGATTAGCAGTGGGCCACTGGGCTCATCCCAAATGACCACTTACTCTGCAACAGGTTGGTAAAACCCATTCTCGGCTTGTCGGATGGCTAGGAGGGCAAAAATTTGAGTGGGGAGTGCGTTGGTAAGTCAGCAGGTGTCCTTCAGAGACAGGAGACAGTTTAAAAACTAAACAAGCATTTATTTATATAACTAAGCTAGGATATATAGGTTAAATGCGATTAAATGAGTTCACTATACAAAAGGGACGCTCTAATAGCTTTACCTGCTAGTCTGAGAGAGAGTTCACAAAGCTCTAAAAAGTACAAATACCTCTATGTGGATATGTCTAATATGCGTTCATTAATGGCGATGGAAGCTCAAATGGCTGTGGTTGGTTGTATGTCCTTTCGGTCCTGAGTATGGAGACAAATATGGCACATCTACCAAGTATAACTTCTGAGGGATTGCCCGGAGCCTCTGGGGACTCGAGCTTTTATACGTTATTTGTGGGAAATGAGTCACGTGATTGACTTCTGTTGACACTTACTGTGCATTCTGATCAGCTAAGTATCAACTTTCCCACCTTAATGTGAAAACAATCAGTGACCTCCGATATACTTCTCACCAAGAGTGTTTTTTTTCTCGGAGTTGTTTACAAAGATTTTTCTGACATTGGCGTAAAAATCACGGATTTCACAATAATGTAAATAAAGTAGATTTAAACATTTAGTTTGCACTTTTATACATACGATAATAAATTATTATTACCATAACAGATTCAGTATACTGTATTACCATTACGAAATACAGTAATTTTATGGTAATACATACAATGTTAAATTAGAATGGATTTTATAATAGGTCTTTAAATACACTTGGTACTTTTTATGTGACTGAAATTATGACCTGTAGATAATGACACTTGGTTATAACATCAAAAAATTGCCAGCACCATGAATGATGTTATAATCAAGTTAAACTGCATTATGGAAAGATTAAGAAGGATTAAATTTTATAAAATAACCCTGAAAGTTATCTGAAGAATAAGAAAATACTACATTTTAAATACAGTAGAGCATTGATTATCTGAATATCGATCAACCGAAAATGTTCCAGTCGGTAAATTTAAATTTCCACTAGTGCTGTGGCGCTGAAATATTTGGCTATGTTTTGGGCTACTCCAATATTGTTTTGAACCAATTTGTTGGTGTGTGTGTTTTAGCTGGCAGTACTGTCACGACCATGATTTGAACAAATTTCAACATGGGATAGGTTAATATATCTTTTTGTACATAATCGGTTATCTTAAAAATCGATTATCTGAACAACTCCAGTCCCGAATTGTTTCAGATCCCATCATTATCTCCTATCTCTTTACTTTGTTCACATTTTTGGAAAGATAATACTCAATTCTTTATATCTCTTTATTTAAATATTGTAGTTCTTTAACTAAAGCATTACTTTCGGCTATAACTGGAATTAAAGGATAGATTACGGCATCCATGTTTTCCTCGAGCAGAAAGCATTTCTAACCTATGATGCAGCGATGTGTAGCGATAGCTGTTTGTGATGTCATTTTTGCTACACTCTCGCTGCATAAAGAAATGTGGCCATGCTGTCAATCAAAGTCCAAAACATTTCACATGCATACATGCATCAGATCTTAATTTGTCAAAGAGCTTAGTGTGTCAGAGTTTGCATTCAGACCTAAATTATAATACATACAAAATCCAGTTTATGAGAATGATGGAAAATGTAGTCAATCAAGTGTATGAGTGTATGAACCTGGATGAATAGCATTCTAAGTAGAGATTTTTTCAAGAAATAATATAGGTTTTTGGGCTGTAACAACATGGCAAGTCTGTATCTCTCCATTATCAATAAATATGATCAATAATTGAACACACAGTGTATTTCAAAATGTATGTGAATGCTGGTACCGGTACATCTTCTTGTTTTATTCTACAGATCTATAAAATTCTTTTCATTTGAGTCTTTCAAATAAATTTTTATTAATAAATGTTTAATTTGATTATATGTCACAATTTAATTACTACATTACATTTTGTGCTTCCTTTACTTGTAATTTTATATTGCACATATCTGAAATAAGATGCACGAATGAAAATTTTATGTTGCATACATGATTAATCTTGAAACTATCAAACATATTTTTCCTTTCTATAAATAATTTTGTACAGTACATTCTAATTTAATTTAATTAATTTCAAAATAATGATCTCTTATATAACAAAAGTTGAATCAAATATGTACTGTATATATCCCATAAGTAAAAAATTGTATTATTTACACAACTTTTCTTAAAATCATATTATGACAACTGTAAGAGTGCTGTTGTTAAATCATTATAAAGTTTAAGGAAAAGTAAAATTTATTCTTAAAATATTGTTAAGTGAATAAATAACTTTAATAAGTCATTTATTTACTTTTTAAGATTCAGTTGAAATTATAATTTATAAATATTGGAATATTTTCATATTACTGAAACTTACTTTTGGAATGAATCCTAATTCAAACATGAGAACATGCAGAACAACAACAATTGCATCATTTGGTTCAGTAATTTCATTCTTTGTATATAATAATTCTAATACTTCTGGGAGAGGAATGTCATTATTTATTACATCACAGCAAAATTCAGGTCTGTAAATATATATAAATAATAATAATTTATTAAATTGTAATAAATAAATAAATATATTTATTTATTCAGACCATGGGAGAGTTATATTATATATTATAATAAATAAATAAATAAATATATTCCTAAAACATACTGTTTTTAA